CCCCCCCCATGCGGTTCAGTCCTGCACTCCACCCCAGCTGGGCAGCCCCTACCCCAGCCCCACTCCCTCCCCCACTTTTGGGGCCTCGATCTACCCCTCCCATGCCCCTTCCCTCATAACAGACTGTCACGGGCGGGGGTCCTCCAGGAGGGCTGTGATCTCCTTAAGGCCCCTTCCCCCATGCCAAGCCAGTCCAAGGGCACCCTCCAATTCTCCCCTGCCACATCTTTGATGTTTATATAAGTTTGGGAGGCTGCCTTACGCCCTCTTGGACACAGTTCGTTGGGACTTCCATCCCCACGGTTTCCCGGACTCTCCGTGGGTCTCACTGTACGATGGGTGCTTCCCGGGCACCCTAGCCTTATGGGCTATGCGTGGCTCCAACCACCCCTTATACCATGCCCCAAGCCTCGCAGTTGGACTAGACGTTGTTCGGTCTCTCAGTCTACTCTCATGCCCCTCTCACCGGGCCTTCTCTGTACTGCCACCCAGCTCTCGGGCCTCCTCGGTAAAGCCGCCCCATCCTGGGGCTCTCTATGCCTACTCTGGGCCTTCTTGGTACCGCCGCCCTCTCTCCAGGCCTTCTTAAGTGCTGCCGCCCCCTCCTGGGGCTCTCCATGCCCACTCTGAGCCTTCTCAAGAATACCGCCCCTCTCTTGGAGCTCTCTCTCTAAAGCCGCCCCTTTCCTGGGGCCCTCTGTGCCGCCCCTCTCCTGGGGCCTTCTCGGTAAAGCCGCCCCTCTCCTGGGGCCTTCTCGGTAAAGCCGCCCCTCTCCTGCGGCCTTCTGTGCCCACTCTGGGACTTCTCGGTCAAGCCGCCTGTCTCTCGGGCCCACCGCACTGCTACCCCCTTTCTCTGGGGCTCACCGCACTACTACTCCCTCTCTCCAGGGTTTACCGCAATGCTACGCCCATCTCTGAGGTTTACCACAATGCTACGCCCATCCTCAGGGGCTCACCATGCCCGCACTGGGGCTTCTCAGTAGTACCCCCTCTCTGGGGCTGGGGTCTATGCACCCCGTACGCCGCACCGTTACTGGCGCTGGGGGCCCCACCCCACTGTGGGGCCCCATGAGAATGCTGTGCCCTCACTGGCGCTGGGGACCACACACCACTGTGGGTCCCTATCAGGCCTCCTCCAACCCCTAATAGCCTCACCCAAACCACCGGTGTAATAAATAACAACAAAGCAAAACACAAGCCTCTTGGCTACAACTTAACCATA